ATAAAAGATTACATTGTCAGAATTTGTTATTCGTTAGTTAGAGAAAAATTTTCCTGATTTCTTCGATAAAAAAGTGCTATTTACAATAATAAATATCAAACTAGCTCTTGTCGATGTTAGATCTTGTTCATCAATGGAGATTGTTTTAGATTTATAGTTGAATCTCATACTATATACTATTTATTTACTTAGACGATAATAATTACAAGATTTAGTAACTATGTAAAAGACAAGAATTTTGTTTTTCAATTAACATTAAGAGTTTGTATTATATTAAATTAAACGAAGCAAAATTTGTATTTAAATAATCGTGTCTCTATATGATTGATTTTGCTTCATTCTCCCATTTTGAGATTCTTAGCCCTCAATTAATTTTAAAATTAAAACTACATAATATTTAATTCACTTTAATCCTTAAAATTTAGCTTATATACCAAATTGATTCGTATAATTTTGAAATACAATGTTTTATTTTATCATGGTTTTTCTTTTTCGGTGAACTTAATTTAGAAGACTAGAGTTTAAATGATTATGAGGTTCAAGGATGGAGCCAGAATATAAAGAAAATAGGACAAACTATATAACTCATAAGCGAAAGGGGCCAAAGTGGTGAGAATGTTTTAAAAATAGTAGATAGAAAAATCAAAGTTTGAACCTTCAAAACGTAAAGCAATTTTTTTTTTTTTTTTTAAGAGGAGGGGGGCAATTTATTTCCTCTCCTAATGAGTAGCTTCTTTTCTGGTGATATTAGAATTATTTAGTCTGCAACCAATGAGATTAGTCTGAGTAGAAATGACTCAAGTCTTTTGAATTGAAAGTTTTGAATTGCAAACAAAAATTGCTGTCATAATTTTTGAATTGAAAACAAAAATTTGCTCTCATGTCTAATAGTCGGCAAGACAATTTATAAAATATTTGAAGGGACATCCTCAAGATGGTTGTTGGGTCCAGCATTTTTGGAGCAAAATTATTCCTTTCCTTTCCTTTTCTCTCTAGTTTTACTCATGCATGTCGGAGGGTTACCTTTAAGGTTTGATAACACATAGCGATATAAGGAAAGCTTTATTTTTAGTAACTAAAAATATTAATTAACTTTTTATATTTAAATAGATATACAATATTTTCTAAAATAAGTTTTATCTTTTTATTTGATTCCAATTAGGATTTTAATTTGAAGCTTTTGAATGTTAAAAAATAAATTACACCATTAAGTTAAAATTCGCTTTTTTTTTTTTTAGTTTGTATATGTATTTTTATATCGGAGCTAATGATATTCAAGTAAAGTCTTTTCTCTAATAATGATATTTTAGTTTTAAATCTTTGACCTTGCAGGTAAAGTTACGTCAAAATAAAATCATTAATTAAATTTCAATTTCAACATCAAACAACACTCACCATCACGAAGATATAGGTCCCAAATTTGAATCTTCCACTTCAATATATCAAACAAAAAAAAAAAAAGAAAAAACCAATCACTAGTTGGTCTTCTCATTGAGTGGAGAATGCGAGGTCTTAGGTTTGATGTCTTTCTATTAAGTGTTTTACTAATGTAATGAGTAAATGAAAATTATCTGTGCGGTGTAGTTTACAGTATTTTTTTTACTCTTTCGAGACGTACTAATGAATTGAAAATAGTATTACTATTATAAAGATCGAAGTGGTTCCTCAGCCCGTAATGAAAAAGCAAAATAGAGTAATTGGGGGTAGGTTGAGTTGGTTAAAAGGAGACAAATTGTTACACATTAAGTTAGGTCAGCAAAACACCAGCAATTAGCAAACATATAAAGAGACATGCAGCAGGAGTTCAAAGAAACCAAATATTAAAATACAAAAGAAAAAAGATAATATTTGTATATATATTGACTAATTCCTCCAAACCTTCAACATTTTCAACGGTCAAACAGTCGGCTTTACGTTTTCAAACCCCAAACTCAAAACATCCTTCCTTCATCTCCTCCGCACAACACCATATTTTCAACTCCTCTCTCTTTATATTATGTATATATAAATACAAAGAAACAAGATCTCAACAAACAGCTTTAGCTACCTAACCAGTATATCAAGAAACCATTTCTTTCTTTTCCTCTAACTGTCTTTCTGTCTATCTTCTTTAAGCTTCCTGTAATCATCTCCAAGAATCAACGAGAAAATGGGTTGTCGTAACTCTCTTGGCTTGGCTTTAAACGCCATTTTCATTTTCATCTTCTTCTTCCTTTTACTGCAGAGTAAGTCCATGCATGTCGAAGGAATGAGGCTTCTTAAAGAAGAGGAAAATTCTGCATGGAGTAAGATTTTAAGTATAAGCCGAGCTTATTCGGGCCCAAGTCATCGTGGACGTGGTCATTGATCGATCCATGCGCGCAAACCAATATAAAAAATTCATTTCTTTTCTCCTGATTATTGTTTGTACTTTCTTCTTCTTCTTCTTCTCCTTTTTTAATTTTAATTTTTGCTAAACAAAAAGAACTAGATTAAGTTTACAGTTCAGTAACCAGTGTAAATGAACAAGATATGCATACTTTCCTTTTGCTCGCTTAATTTTGATAGTGATGATTAATTAGTGTTTGCTGTTTGTTCTTTGTTTTGGTTTATGGGATAATATATATATATATATTACTTTCCTTTTGCTCGCTTAATTGTTGATAGTGATGATTAATAGTGTTTGCTGTTTGTTCTTTGTTTTGGTTTTGGGATAATATATATTTATATATATATATATATATATATATATATATATATAATATATATATATATATAATAATATATATTTTTTTTTTTTTTTTTTTTCTTTTTCCCATTTTTCTTTTTCCCAAATGAATAAGCATGTTTGAAAACAAAGAATGTAATGTTTATTTTATTGTCAATAAATTCTTATGTTTCATATGCTAAGAACAAAACTCAACGGCAACGTCATCTAATTTGATACAATATAACTATTAGGGACCAACTTGGCTATCAATTTTCTAAGGAATTAATTTACTGTTTTTATTTTTTTCTCGTGAATATGTCATACTCGCTTTGGATACAGGACTAATTTCGTTTCAAGATTTATAATTGCTCCTCGTTATATAAGTATTTTTTTCAATAAATTAAACCTTGATCTCCTTATATAAGTATTTTTACTCGGTATAGATGAGTTAGTTTGAGTGTTTGGTGTGGAGCTTATTGACTTGGATTTAGTTCTCGGTTACATTAAGTTAGATTCTAATAATTAATAAAATAAAATTTTGTTTGCGGATAAAAAAATCCTGATTATTATAAAATAATATTCTAAGATTAATAGAATTTTGCTTTTTATGGTGCTTTGTTGGTGGAGATATCTTGAATTGGCTCCAACATAGATATAGTAAATCTCTTTAATTGGATTAGACTTACATACACTTGGTGCATCAATTATAATTAATTCAATGCTGATCAAACTCTAACAAGTGAGAGAAATACTAAAAATGTATTTATCAGTGGTGTCTTTTATTTTTGTGTTTAAAATTTTATCTCGACTAGGTTCTGGCCCCACTTATGGACAAAACTAATGAGAATAAAGTTTCTTATAGAGGATAAAGTCAGAATACTTTTTAAAGAATCTTTACTATTATTGGTTTAATAAGTGAAAGAAATACTAAAATTGTATTCATCAGTGGTGTCTTTATTTCTGTGTTGGGAAAATTTTACCTGGACCAGGTCCTAGCCCCACTTATGGACCAGGTCTTGGCCCCCACTTATGGACCAAACTAAAGTTTTAAAGAATCTTTACTGTTATTGGTTTGGTCAATAAGTGGGCTATGGACCCAGTTTAAACAAGTAATTTCCATCTATGTTTTCTAGTGCGTCTCATGCATCTTAGAGTTCTGTTTACATACTCTATTTTCCTATCTCAAGAAAATGAGTATTTTCTATTGTTTTGTTTTGAATTGTTTGTCTCGAGGTTTTTTTTTTTTTTTTTTTTTTTTACTTTAACATCTTTGACTTTGAGTGTATAAGAAAGCCGATGGCTCGAATTTTAGTTTTTTTTTTTTTTTTTTTTTTTACTTAACATCTTTGACCTTTGAGTGTATAAGAAAGCCGATGGCTCGAATTTAGTTGCTTGAAAATGTTAAATTTTTTCTGATTTATATTAATAAATTAATTTGATGATAAAAAAAAATATTAACTTGTTACAAGAGATTTAGATAATAGTCAAAGAAGAATCTTTTGATCAATCCAGAGATCATTTCAATTGCATTAGTAACGAGGATTCTGAACATCACATTGATCGATTAAAGAAAGATTCAACAACGTAAAATTTCTTTCTTCTATGAGATTCTGTCATATCAAATATAATTTACCTTGTAAAGGAGACATAAGAGAAATAAATGTGATTTAAAAAAAAAAAGAAAAGAATTCTTGATACGATCTATTTGTGTCGTGTGCAAAATAAAATTAATGAATTGATCATATAGTCACAATTTTAGTTCATTCTTGTACTGAATGAATTGTCATCAGTCATCTATATGAAATGCCATTTCTATGCTTTCATCAAGCTTTTGGTTTTCTTTCTTTTTTTTTTTTTTTTATTTGTAAATCTAGCTTTTATTACCGAATTAACTAAATCAATTTAAGATTTTTTATTCTTATATTTATATTCCTTATACAGAATTTTCATTTCCAATGAATAATGAAATCCTAATATAAATTTTATATTCAAAACAAAAAAAATCCATTTTTGAATGTTTTAGAAAACAATTGTTAATAAATTTCTCATTATTTTTTTTATTTTAATTATTAAATAAGTTGTCAATACTATTAAATTAAAATATTTATAGATATAGAAATGCACGATAAGAAAACAATGAATTAGAATTTTCTTCGTGGCTTAGTTACAAAAATATGGTGCAAAAAGTAAAAATTTTAATTTTGTGTAAATTGTCAATATAATGTGCTAATAAATAATAAGTCATTGTCCATTACGGTTCTTGTATCCCTTTTTTTTCTCGGAATATAACCATTCATAAACAAACTAAGGAGAGAACCTCAACGGCAGAGCTGCCATGGAAATTAGGGTACCTGAAGATATTGTGGCAGAGATATTCTTAAAGCTAGAAGTAAAATCACTTTTGCGTTTCAAGTCCATTTCAAAGTCGTGCAATTCTCTAATCTCTAGTCCAGACTTCATCAAATCACACCTCCACCAATCCAAGGGTCAGTTTTTCAAATTCGTATGTGATTCATATTTTTATGATTTTAATGATCGGGGAGAACCTAATCCAATCAGATCTCCCATGCTGCAACAACTGGCATTTTTGAATAACAAGAATTGCATGATTTTATGTTCTTGTGATGGTTTACTACTGTTACGTGTTTCTGTAGACTATCCAACCGTTTATTCCGGAAATCAAAGGCAAACCAGAGCCATTGCCTTGACCGGTGTTTCATGGGATTTTTCCAGTAATAAAATTGTCTCGACCCCTGACTCTCGCTATTCTCTTATCGTATGGAATCCTGCCACTAGAGAATGTCGAGTATTGCCAGACCCTGAAAAGTTCGTGTCTTATGGATTAGGTTATGACTCCGCTACTGATGATTATAAAGTGATACGATGGGGGTCTCGCGAGATTACTGTTCATTCATTGAAATCTAATCGTATACAAAAGATTAAAGTTAAGGTCGATTTCAGATTTTATCAGGCAGGTACATTCATCCATGGAGCTCTCCACTGGGTAGTTGCAGACTGGGTTATTGCTGCTTTTAACTTAGCAGATGACAAAATATTACAGCTGGAAATTCCTAATCGACAAGCTGATGAAATTATTTGTAACTTAGGGGTTTTCCGAGGATGTCTTTGTTATTTTAGTAGAAATGGACATGTGCCTTGTCATTTAAATGTTTGGGTAATGAAAGAATATGGTGTGACAACATCTTGGACCAAATTTGTAACCATCCCACCAGAGAGAGTACGAGTTTTTCCTTACAAAGCAACTTTTTGTTGTAGGAATGATGCAATTTTTATAGTTGCTAATAAATATGACGGTACTTCTGCATTGTTTTGGTATGATTTGAAGAATAAGGAATCGAAGAATTTGAAGACTTTTAAACATCCAGTAGTTGCTAGAGTGGTTTCCTTTGTGGAAAGTTTAGTTTCACCAAAATTAAATTAAACAATGTTTGGATTTATTCCTTTGGTCTTCGGCTTCTGCATATACCAATTTGTTTAATTTTATAACTTTGATTAATTTATTGTTCTGATTATGGATTTCTGTCTTTTATAGTTCTACTTACAACATCAAGCTTACTCATGGATACACTGCTATTTTGAAACCTGATAATGAGCTGCAAAATCTGATTGATGGCTAGGAAAAGAAGAAGACAAATTTCCTTTTAGCAGATGATTTTGAGCCTCTAATAATTTGATCCATTGCTTGGCTTTTCGGATAAAATAATTTTATCTCTAATTAGTTAATCTCAGGAGTGACCATTGCTCATGGAGGTGTTCTTAATATTAGCCCTGTTCTTTTGCTTAAAAAATCAAAGAAGGCAATTATTAAGGACCTAAAGTCTCCATAACGAAGTCTCTAAAGAAAGCTTTAAGGGTTTGTTCGGCTGTTTTGGGCTGTTAGCCTTCCAACTATTTAGTTAAAAGTTAAACATTACATGAGTTAATTTTTCACAAAATATTACCCTAACCTCTAAAAGTTAGTTCAAACGCCATGTTACCGAACAAAATAACTTTTTAAGCAGCGTTTTAACTAAAATGCTAAAAGCTACTTGCCAAACACAACGCGAAAAGCTACTTCAAAACCTGTTAGCAAACACAGCCTTAAGACTTTCAAATTGTTATTCTCTTGTGCTCTTGTTGTATATGATTTAGGGAATTTTGTTAATCCATAGAAAAAGAGTAAAAGATGTTTAACTTGATCTTTAGGGTACAATGATAAGACTTTATTATTATTTTTTTTTATCAACAACAGAAAAACTTTTTTACAATTAAAGAATCAAGAAAAGTTTAACATCTTTAGAAATATACTCCAAGCTACTAGGCTTTTTAAATATACCCACAACTAATCTGTAAACGTTGGAAAAAAACAAATAGCGGAATGCAATTTATACCCACATCATATAACTTCCTTGTGAGTGGAAGTTATACGATGTGAGGGAATTGTTTTATTTTGCTCATGCAAAATTGGAATGCACAATAAAAGTAGTACCTTTTTACCCTCAACCCCCCCTCGGTTTTTTAAAAGTAATTCTATTCTTAAAAATTGCCTACATGTTTATTTATATTTCTCTAATAAGGTGCTGCTTTTATAGGATGGAACTCTTTATTATATGTTCATCTGGTAATCAAATACCTCATCTAACTTTATATATGTTGTGTTACTTAAGCGAGATGGTTATGAATTTGTTATGTGTAGAAAGTTTTTTTCTTTGATAAGGGCTTTCATATGATACTAATGGAACTCCATTGAGAAACATGGAGAAATAATGGAATTTCATTTACGAAGCAAATTTCGAAATTTGTTTGATTTACGTGTTAATACCATAATACCAGTTGATAGCTGGTGGTTGATAGCTAGCAGATAAGTATTGATGTTTGGTAAAATTTTAATAGTTGTTGCTGTTAAATATATAAAATAACATTATAGAAGTGTAATTATTTTTATATATTATGATATAATATATATTTTTAGATTTTCAAAGGTGAATATATTACTTTTTATTTTAATGTATTATATAAATAAAAAAATATTAATAAATTTTTTTGAAAAAATATTCAATAGAAATTATTATTTTTCAAATAACTATAAAAAAGTAAAAAAAAATATTATTTTAAAAATATAATAATTTTTACTGGTAATTATGTTTATAAGGTTAATAAAGTCTAAATATAATACAAATATAAAATAGCTATCAAAAACTCTAAAATATAGCTCATAGAATCAACAATTAATTGAAACTTTTGTTAATCGTCAACGGCTGATAAAAAATTTATTATAAAATCTATACGAACAGATACATACCCAGAAAATTGGTTAAGGGGATCCAGTTACAAATTCAAGAATATTATATGAGAAAACAAAAAAAAAAAAAGTATAAAAATTTATTGAAAAATTGTAATCTTCTATTCATTTTAAATTTTTTGCTGCGATAAAAATTAAAGACCTTAATTATACAAACATTTCATATAGAATATTTTCCTTCTTTATCCCATAAATAGTACTCGTTATTGAAATTGAAAAGTTTTTTACACACTTGAAAAATCTAATGCATTTTTAGTGTTCTTAAATATAATTATTAATGAATTTCTAATCAATACTCAAAAATGAATTTCTAATTATTTTTATTTTAATTATTAAATAAGTAGTTAATATTCTTAGATTAAAAACAGTTACAGGCATAATAGTACACAATAAAAAATTTGAACTAAAGTCTCTTGCTTAATTACATAAAACCAATTTTAAATAATAAAGGGCAAACTTACTGTAAATTGTATATTTTTTAATTTCTACAAGTCTAGCATGTCTACAGACCAAAAGGTAGCCTGTCTAGTAAGATAATTATTATTTTTTTATAAAAAAATTAAATAATATATCTCATATAAAAAGAAAGTCAATTATTAAAATAGTAAATCATTGTGTATTACGGTTTTTTGTATCCCCGTCTTTCTCTACAATAACTAATAGATGTAAAATTGAATACTAGAAATTGCTATTGGATGTAATATGTCTTCTAATGAGATGCAATACAAATATTTATAGTGTGCTTCTTATTATAACTGAAGATATAAATGCTTAGTAAGAATTTCAGTCAGAAATGTCGATCGAGGATCTTGGACATTAATTACATGGTTAAATGACTCTTAATGACTCCTTGACCGAGCATTCACTCTATTTGAACTGGTTCGAGTAACGTTCAGTCCATTTTATTAATTATTCGGCTCATCTATTAATTGCTCCTATCAAAAGTCCCCCCTCAAAATATACCGAATCATTTATGTTCAGTTAAATCTTTAACATGTTCATTACATTTTCTTGTTTTCTTTTAGATGTGCTCATCAAATTGACCTCTCTTAATCTATTTTGGCCGAACACTTGTAATTCTTCCATGTGTACCCTAATTGTAAATTGTTTTTTTTTTTTTGAAAAGTTGTGCACCTCTTCAGTTCTAGCCGTCAATTCAAGCCTCATCTTTAATGTATGTGACTTTTGGAGCTTGTGCGAAGAGAAGTGGCTAACTCTATCAATAACTTGGAACCTAATTTTTGAGTAGGATCAGATCAAGACGGACAAGAGAATGACCCAAACATAGCCATTTCTCTGTGACATCCCTACTTGGCAAAGTGATCCTAAGAGGGCGAGTAGAGCAAAGATCCTGGCTAGTTTCTAGGATAACATGCTAGCTATGAGTAATGGATGTAGGACACATGAATGAATTAGATCATATATCAAAAATGGATAAACTAATCATCAGAGATGTCGTTGGGTTAATTGGCCTGGAGAGTTGGAAGAACTTCAGGATTAAGCATGTTCACTTAAGGGAATCCTAGGATGGGTGACCTCCTGGGAAGTCCCCATTTCACTCGCAGGACAAAATCATGCAGGTTTTGCCAATAATATAGGATGAAATTGACTTGATCTAAAGCAGACAATTCATCTGGTGGTTATAGTCGTATTTTCTCTAATGAAATTTCATATTTCTTTTTCTTAAGGCCTTTGATTTTGAGTTCTCTAACTCATTTTTATCTTGAGCTTACTTAGACTCATGATTTGCTCTATGCTTTTATTTCCTTTTTGTTTAAAAGATTGTGTAATTTGGATAAGCAAGTTAGAGTAATTGGGATGATCAATTGTAATCAGTAACTTCTTTATTCTTTTTTTTTTTTTTTTTTTTCTTTGGATAAGCAAGTTAGAGTAATTGCGGATGATCAATATGTAACAGTTAACTTCCTTTTATTCTTTTTTTTTTTTTTTTTTTTTTTTTTTTTTTTTTGAGAATATTTTTTTCTCAATATCTCTTGCTCAAGAATATGGTGTTCTGGATGTGTAATTTGTGGGAGCGAAGTGTAGTCTACTGAATCTTGTGGTTGAATGCCTTTTTACGGAATCGCCCTTCCTCTTTTCCTGTGGAGCTTTGATATGTGCTTGTTGGATTTTCCAAGCCTAATTTAGCCTAGTATAGTTGCTTGCTCAGCACATCAATTCTGAAAAAGAAAGCGAAGGATCAATATTAATGGAATCAAATAGTTTTTCATACTTATAATTTTTTAACATGACGCTAATGGTCACTTCTGCATTTAAGTCTTCAATTTTCATAGCCAATTTTTGGAATTTATCAAGATATTCTTTAAGAGATTCACCATCATTTCTGAATGGAAGTCAGGTTTGGAGTAGACTCCATTCATGTGTTTTGAGCACCATTGAGCAGATTTTGAGACTCATCAAATGTTATTTCTGGGTGATTTTAGGAGAAACAGATTGAATAAATGAGGTGTGTTTCACGCTTACCGCACCAATTTGATAGAAGTGAAATATGAATACTCAGAAATTGTCATTGGATGTAATGTGTCCTCTAATGAGATATGATACAAATATTTATAGTGTGCTTCTTATTGTAACTAAAGATGTAAATGCCTAACAAGAATTCGAGTCATAAATGTCGAACCAGAATTTCTGACATTAATTACATGATTAAACTGAGTGTTATCTCTATTTAAACTGGTTTGAGTAATGTTTGGTCTATTTAATTGCTCGGACCATTCTATTAATTGTTCGACCATTTCTATTAATTGCTCCTATGAATAACCATCCGCACGTATCCCTCTCTTTCTCTATAAATAACCATCTGCACCAAAACGAACGCATCAAGGGAGAACCTCAATAGCGACGCTGCCATGGAAATTGGGGTACCTAAAGAAAATGTAAAGAAAATATTCTTAAGGCTACAAGTAAAAGCGGTTTTGCGTTTCAAGTGCATATCAAAATCATCCAATTCTCTAATCTCTAGTCAATACTTCATCAAATCACACCTCCTCCAATCCCAGGTTGATTCATCCAAATTTATACTTGGTTCATATTTGTATAGTGACAATGATTTTCGAAAGTGTGCGAAATCGCAACAAGTAATATAGAATGAGTAGAGTATCGTTTCCACAGGGATTGTA